TGTAAAACCTCAAGTTTTCATCTTGGCTTTTTACTTTTGCAAATTAATCTGCTAATTCTGTCCTACACTGTTTTTTAATAGCTATCTGAAGACTGTAGCTGGCAATTTTACTATTCAGCTATGTATTGGAATCCACTTCACCATGAGAATCTGAACATTTTCCCATACTGATACCAACTATTAATTCCAAATGGCATCAGACTGTGCATTTCAAAATACATATTGCTACCACCTACTATTATACCCATAAGTCTGTTACTTATTTAAGGCTTATGAAGCCTCATTAAACAGTTCCTTTTGAGTGAATCACTTTGACAATATCATGCATGAGATGACATTGAAATAAAAAGTCAAAGTTCACATTTGACTAGTTAGTTTTGAAGCCAATTTTGAAACTACAGTCTGCCTTGTAACAAATATTTACTAACTTCTCTCAGACCAAAAGGCTTAAAAATGCATCACTGACATAATTTAATACCTCTTGGAATAAGGTAGCATCTGTAATCCCTATGGTACAAGACTGTTTAGTTCTGTACAATTAGTGGATGCCTCCAAACTACATCATTAATATGAACATTGCAGTGGGGGTGCACCTGCAACTCATCTACTTGAGAGGTTTTTTGCTTTTGCAATATCTCTACACACTAATTTGCTGCTGAAAGGGCAACGCATCCCTCCTGCACCTTGGATTCCTTTCAGGCACAAGAGTTCAAGGACATACAAACCCCTGAGGAACGTGGGATGGCATGATATGGATGTGCATAAGCACTGAACATCTTTAAAACCTCCCACCACTTCTTTTTCCCTTTTGAGTAACATCCATGTGCTTGTTTGTCCCAAAGCAGTGGCCACATGAGACAGAGCTACAAGCTCCAAGAGAACAGAGATCGAAGAATCTAAATTCTCAAATACAGTGTTTGATCCTGACATAGGATTTGCCTGGCTGGTTTCACAAGGAGGTCTATGGAGGACACTTCTATTTTTGGGACAGAAATGAAATGGAGATTGAAGAGTAGAAAGGGATTAGCAGAAACAAGGAGACTGCCATCTATATCTAGGTGCTCCTTCTTTATGTAGGAAGAAATGAGGAAGGAATGTCCCAGACCTTGTCTATTTTCAGTGAAAGACTCAACTCTGCTTCATCTTCCTTGCCAGAGAGAAGAGAAGCAGGCTTTTGTAACAATTCCAACTTTGACATTTTGGTCTTAAGTCGGCAAGGCATTTAAACAACTGCTTTGTGAATAGAAATATGTTGCTGGCTCCCCAGAATTTTGTCTTGAAATGTAAGAACCTCTTTTCTAACAAGAAAACCTTTAAGAAAGATCCATAGTACTCAGGAAGGTGGCAGGATCCAAGAATAAACTCTAAGTTCCCTACTGCTGTAGTAAATATCTGTCTGGTTCAGACTGTGCAATTGGTGTATGCAACATCACTGATTTAACATTACTGCAAGGAAAGAGTCTACCTTGCTGCTGTGCTCATGCCAGTAAGTATAAAACCATACCCTTCCTACCTGGTTGAGAAATTCAGATGTGTAAATGCCAGAGGGAGTCTACTGTAGAGAACAAGTCTCTTCCTAGCTCCAATTAAACGTTATTCCTTTTCCTTATTTTGATGTAAACACATTTTATTCTCGCTTCGTGTTCCTATGGTGATTTGAAGTGAAGGTACTAATCTGACTGAAAACACAACTTGTAATATTTCCTATTCCATGCTGAGAAGATGAAAGCTCTTAGGTTCTTGAAGGCATCTCCCCAATACAATTAATAAATCTACTCTGGCCAGGACAGTAAGATTTAATCTCCAAGCAGCAAAGGTCAGTTTACAGCAGGTGGGGAATGGAGATAAGGAGACAGTTCTGTTGACTGCAGAGGGAGTTCATGAGAGAAAATAGCTGGAAACAAATAGCAAACCATAAAATACAAATCCAACCTCGGAGTGGAAATATGTGAATGGAAAACTAAAGTATAATCCCTCTAATAGGCACAATTCTTGCCAAATATCCATAATTTTGGATGGCTGCAAGAGTCTGCAATTTGGGTGGGAACAAAAAGCCTGTGTAACCTTGACCTCCGTGCTGAGCTCAATTTATTGCATTTGCACAATTTTCCCCAAACAAATCCATCATCTGCCCTGCTGGAGCACGCTGCTGCCCAATGCTGAGAAGCACAGTAGATAGCCAAGAAGAGTTATTAAGACAGAACTTCCCAGGTTTTGGTTTATTTTTGTTTGTTTGTTTGCTTGCTTTTTTTGACATTGTAGAAGATTTAGGATCTCCCTTCACTCTTAAGCTTTAAGAGAAGGAGGCTGCTGTAAGCCCCTGCATGGAGAGATTCGAGGGATATCCACATGACACTTCCCTTGGGAACCAAACCCATCACTTGCAATAACTGAAAGTACAGGAAGCATCTATAACAGTGAGGGACCTGCAGTCAGCAAACATGTCATTTTTGTTGTTTCTCTCTATCTACGAATGATTAAGGAAGATCAAGGTACTTTTTTTTCACTGATAGGCTTCTTTTGTCCTTGTGCATCTGCTGACTGAAAGACATCCAGTGAATATGAACACTTTTTTGAGCAGCATTAGGTTAAAGACGGAGAAGCTAAAGCCACATTGATAGAAAAATTAGGTACCTAATTTTCATACATTCTCCTTAAAAACCATTATGTGGCTGACTCCAGAAAGATTACAAAGTTGTGGGGAAGAACCTCCACATAGTACAAGGTTATATGTGACATGCTCCCCCTGCAATATGTTTCAGATTGCAGTATGCGATAGATTTGAAATACATAAGTGGAAAACCAAATAAACTACTAAAATTAAAAGATGTTACTTTATCATGTTAGTACAGCACTCTGTAAAAATCTTACTGACTCTAAAGACACTGGACTAGTGGACAGAATTCAGTACCTGAGAAGCAGTAAAATAATACATCTAGCTTTTCACTTCTTTTTTTTGTAAGTGAAATGCCCCCTTCGGTACATTTAAAGTAAAATATAACTATAAAAGAAGCCATATTTTCAAGACAGCCCAGTGGTACTTAAATACAATAATGAACACCACAGCAAAACTTCAAGATGACTCTAGACAATCTGGACTCCCAATTCATAGACGGTAACTTTCAGAACACAGCCAGAGGGAGAAAGTTTTGGAAAAAAGATACATTTTTCTCACTGGGAAACTTACACTAAAATAATAATTTGTTCCCATTAAGTCAATGTTTTTTTGCTTCTGACTTGAACAGGAATATGATTAAAAGGACTACACAGAAAGAACAGATGAAATCCTGATTAAAAACTGTTTTATTCAAAGCTCTTTGCAATAAAACACCCTCAAGCCAGAAAAGAAACATTCTCACAGCACACTAGTTTCAAAAGAGAATGTAAGAAATAAATGTATATAAATCCCATCACTGCATTATATGTGTCTTGTATGGCACTACAGACTACCAGTGCAACTCTATTAATTTTATAGAAAGATTGTATTTTAAATTAAATTTGGTTTTAAACATTTAATTTTTCAGGCATACAAGTTAAATTTGCCAAATTTATTACTCAAAAAAAAATATCTTAAAATGGCTATAAATTATTTAGAGTGACTTTCTTGATGTTAAGCTTCCTAATTCAGTCAAATAACTTACTGAAGTTGTCATACGCTACTACAGTGTCAAATTCTGCCCTAAGATCTGCACAGGCATATGCCTAAAAAATTGAACTGCTAAGTCTGACAGTTTGAAAACTGGATTGAAAGATGGTATGTTTGCAGCTTCAATTAATTCCCCAGAACACGTGTATCTGACTGTAGATCCCTCTGTGTCAAGTTGTTGGGGTTTTGGTTTTGAGTTTTTTTTTCAGAGGAGTTTAAGCCCAGGTAAGGAACGATTAGCAATTAGCATGGAGTCAGCTGAAAAGCCACAGATCTTCAGGCAATCTAGTAAGCGTGAATTACTGCCACCCCTTAGCTAAAACTGCTTGTGCAAAAGTCTGTATACTGCAGATATGTAACCAACAGGCAACGGCGGTCTGATTGCATCAATTTTACACATTTTTCAGCTTTTTAATTGATCCAAATGCTACGTCAGTGCTCAGAGCCATCTTGCATAAAAGACTTACAATCCACAGAAGAAAGGATTTCACTCATTCATCAATGTCATTTTACACATTCGGTAGATTACCAAACAATTATATTCTTCATTAATGAATCATGCCAAGCCATGATATGTTCGCCATCTCTATGAACAGGTCTGTTCTTATTGCAACTACAGTTGGGAATAAATTGTGTAGCTGGCCTGTGGCTTCTTTTGGGTTTCCAGCAGCAGTATGTTTCTTGGAGACAGTCTGAGCCTAATTCTCTACAAACCAGTATCAGGTCAAAGAGTCATAGGAAAACATATTCTTACCAGTTTGAAGGAAACTTAACTGCTTTTCCACCATCAGGTGAAACTGAATTAGATCCCTTTTCATCCTTCAATCAATAAGCATGTAACAACTCACCCATAATTAATGGGACTACTCATGTGAGTAAAAGCATCCATAGGATTATGTGACTGTAAGATTAGACCACATGTAAAAACCAACAGCTTTGGTAACATATTAATATATTTACTAGTACATATTTTCACATACTAAATTCAATCCAATCTAGATTATCATATACAAGCTATAAACTCTACTTATAAAAGCAATGTGATATGGGCACATTTAAAGTGTGTGGAAAGTACTTTGAAACATACTCGAAGACTCAAGAGAAAACATAATGCATATATTTGGTTTTTTCTTAGATACAACATGTAAAATAAAAATCTACCTTTAAATTTTGGTATTACTTGAAATTATGGCAGAACAGACTTCCTACTGAATACCAATGTAAATCCAAGGGCAATGGAAAGCAAACGGGCAATAGAACATTATAAAAGCAAAAACAACACAGTACAATTAATCAAAAGTTGATATTATTTAATATTATGATGACAGAGAAAGGAGGACGTTTAGTAACTTACCCTCATCTTTGCACACGCATCCTGTGTTGACTCTGTACCTCTTAACTCTTTCACCAGCATAGAACCTAAATACTAAAATAAAAATCGATTAAAATTAATTTAAGTAAAAATTCCAGAACAGACAAACATCTGCAGAAATGCACTAAAAGCACCTAAAACCCCAAAGTGGTAGCAATTTAATATATTACTTTAGAGATTTTTTCACTCTGCAGTTCTCTGATACATCATTTAAACCAGTGTGTTAATCAGCCTATGAAACAGGAATGCACAGCAACAAGTTCATTGAATCAGATGGAGTCCTTTGAAATGTTTTCTAGCTTATCACCTTAGTCACTCAAACAAGCAGCAAATACTACAAATTCCATCTTAAAAAAGCCATTTGATTAAAAAAAAAAACAGAGAATCTGCTTTTTCTAGCTGGCACCTGCCAAACTTGCCATGTGTGTAATCCCGCGGCCGTGAAGGCCAGCAGCGATGTTAGCCTCTGTGTACTCAATCTGTAACTAATTTGTGTGCAAATAGCAGAGCCCAATGTCAGCAAACAGAGAAAATAAATCTGAACTGAAAACTAGTTGAAACCATTATTTCTTCCTAAGAAAAGGTGGACCTTGAACTATTATTTGGAAGCGCTGACTGATGTGAAGGAGGGCTGGGTGAGAGGAAGGAGCAGGGTGCTGGTGCCATGTCCTGGCTCCGCTGGCTGAAAGCCCCTGTGCTCTCGGAGAAGCCTGCTCACCACCGTGGGTCCACAAGGCAGCAAGGCACTTGCTGCCACATCCTCTTTCCTACCTGCCTCTTCCTCATGTCATCACTTACAGTTTGAGCCCTCCTGTGCCCTGACAGCAGGCACTGCTCCTCTGGATTTGTTCCTTTGGGGTCTCAGTACCTCTCTACAGCACCTTTGACTGGTGCTGTTCCTCCAGGGATGGAGCTGGCTGCATCGTCCCTGCTGTTCTTGCCTAGCAGCGAGTGCTCTTCTTATTGCTAACAGGGCCACGCGAGAGCCACACTCTGCATTTCTCCTAGAGACGCTACAGGCATGTGTGCATTTGTGGATGTGCACATATTCGTATAGACCTGTGCAAACAGGATGTTTCTGTATTTCTGTACAGTGTCACATGCAAGTCTCGCTTAATTGGGGAAAGAGGACAGCAAGCCATCCCTTGTCGTCTTCTCCCTGGCACTCACGCTGCAGCGCAATGCCACGGCTTCTCTTAAGTCTTTAGTCCTAAGTGAGCAAGATAGGAGCTGAAGAGAAGCCATGCCACTGGCGAGAATGGGGTAGGTAAGCTGCAGGAGGAGAGAAAGTGCCATGGGCAGGAGCTTCTTCCCATAGGATGCTGCAAGCCCACCTCCACGGTTTGACCTCTTTCATTCTACCACACTGACTCCCCTTGGAAACAGCCTAAGCTGACCCAACCAGACAGTGAACTTGTTTCATCTTAAACAAGAACCTGTCAAAAGCAACTTCAGTTAAAGCTGAACGCAAGCTGAACCGAACACGAAAGTGTACTGGTTCAACTCTCTGGTCTCCTGCCCTAAACCGAGATATTTTCTTTAAAGCCCTCAGTTCACACTGTGTACTGCAGGAATCTCTGACCCGCAGGAAAATTTCCACGTATACAGTAACCAACATCAAATTAGTGACAAACACTGTGCAGGGCATTATAAATGGAAGGGTGAGCAACACCAACACTACCAGATAAGCACAAGCAGAAAGGAACGAAGTTTTTTTTGGAGGACTGCAGATGTGAAAGATTCATAAACCAAGCAGCTGCGAGTCCAGCTGGGAGCTCAGTGGTGACATGAATAGGGCTCTGGGCATTAATTTGATGGGACGGCTTGATATTGACCTTGCAGAAGAGCAACGAATTTAAAGCAAGCTCTGGAATTAGAAAATTAAACAAAAGTGTATTGAGTCGAACTGTATCCTCCTCTGGATCTTGCTGTCTGACACGTTTGGCATCCTCAGCTTTCTCTGGGAAAGATGCAATTCATTTTTTCAATTTTTTTATTATTTTTTTATAGACTATGGCACAACAAATTGGTATTTCCTTGAAAGCTACCAGCTGGTCAGGCATCAGAGAAAAAAGTAGTGCTTTTGAGCTCATGGCAGAACAAGAGGAAAAAAGAGAAGAGACAGGCAGCTCCTGTCCCATCTGCACAGTAGTACAAAGCCTCAGCTGCAGGCATTCAGAAATGCTTCGCAGGGTGGACTAAGGAATAGACAAACAAATCACAGAGGTGGTGTCCAATTTAGCTGTCAGAAAAATCTGAAATTCTAGGAGGGAATTTTGCTCTCCTTTGACTTGCTGTGCTTTTGGAGATGTTTCTTCTCAAAGACAGAGAGCATGTGGGAACAATGCAGAAGACATCCAACAGTTCAACTGAGCGATGTGGCATACAACAAAAGCTGTCCCCGTTATAACTTCCAAGCCAGGGTTTTACTCTATGAAGCTGAGGTCAATACAGCTCAGGGAGCTGACACAACGGAGTGATGTGCCGTCCTTAGGAAAGGAAGGTGTTTCCTTCATTACCAGTAACTTGGATATTTTGATTTGGTGATTCCTTAATCACCAGTAACCTGGTCATCCCAACTTCATTTCTCGAATGATCCACACGCCTTCCAATCTACTACAAAGGTTACATCTGATTATGAATTTACTGCTGGATCAAGTAATGAGATAAAAGGCACTCTTGAGATAAACCTCTTCACTTTACTGAACACTGTTAAAGAACAAGAAGTCACGAAGTTTCCTTTCCAATTTGAGGTGCTGCATAGGAGGAGAGCAAGACTGAGAAGAGGTAAGCTGGACCTTGACCACGACTTGCTGAGGAAGGCAGAGGTTCTAGTTACTGGCCAGTGACAATCATTGCATTCATGGCAATTTTTACCCCATGAAGGTCTGATGGAAGATACAGACGTGCTGCAGCGAAAAAGACCTCCACCACCCCTTCTGCTTCCCCTCAGAGCCAGGCTCTGTCTCACCTGCACTTAGTCTCCAACTCTTATCTTTCCAGATAGGCTTTAAATCAGGTCCAGTAGCCCCCAACTCTCCCCTAAAATGCCCCAGTGTTTGGTGAACAGAGCATTATTTATTCTAAAAAGCACGAAGGATCCAAGCCTCTTCAGGTGATCTAAAACCCATGTCCTGGACAAGTCGTTAACCCCCAGCCATTATGCTAAAGGCTTCACAACTACTGAGCCCCTTCCCTTTGTAAAGTCAGTCTGCCTTACTTCGTCAGATGGCCACCTCTGAAAAGGACACAAGTGGTCTGGGAAGCACCTTCAGCAACTTTAACAGTGTTTTCCAGCAAAGTCAGAACGCGAAATGTAAGAGTTTAAACAAGTGGGCTGAGGCACCTCTTCAGCTCCCCAAAAGCACACTCCCCCCCCCTTGTTGGCTTCAGAAAAGTCTTCCAATACATACATCAGGAGTTTGTACTTTCGGTACATCAGGAGCTCTTCCTCTCCTTCACAAGGGTTTATAACAGCCAGAGAACACTAATCATCTTTAGCTGTAGAGGGAAGCTCCATTTCTCCAGGGATGCGAAGTGGGAATCAGTTACAGCTATCAGGAGGTAAAAATAAGTATGTCCTGCCCTGAAGGAACTGACTGCTACTGGTACTTCAAGTGGTCATCAGTCTGGGAGAGGTCTGAATGTGCCCTTGTCCCATGGATGGGAAACACTGCTTCAGGACCCTGATCTCCATCTTCTCTAGCTCCCTTCCCCAAAAACAGGTGCATAAAATTCAGGTAAGGTAATACTTTAACTACTGTGCACACAGCATCAAGGTAGGCATCAGGAACCCATATTATGTTTTAGGTTTTTTTCCGTAAGTACTAGACAGAGATTTGTGAGAGATGAGAAGTAGGAGTGTTTGCTTTCAGTGTCACTTCTACAACACTTAGCCACTTATTCATAGTGTCATTTCTCTAATGCTACATGGACTGCAATATATCACAAAATTCATAGCAAAAAGTATTGTGCATCCTTGTTTCTCATTTGTTACAATTACAGCATTTCAGAGTGGCCCATCTCATTAAAGGTGACTGAAAAAATATTATAAATTAAAAAAAAACAACAGTCTATCAAAATCTAAGATTAATATATCTACCCCAAATCAAACCACTATATTTATCAACACTTACAAATGCTTTGTAATCGCATGACTGGAAGATGAGTTTCTCTGGATGATGTTGCCAATATTGCACAGGCGTTGATGCTGTGGCTTCATTTGGAGGCCGCAAGGTAATTGAAGGCTCTCCCCAGTCTCCTGTCTGAAAATCACAGTTGTTCGAGATGTAAGAGAAGTTGCAGGCAAATTCGCTATAAAGTAGCCCACCGTTGTTGTGCTCAATTAACAATAATTAATTTTCTACACATAGAGCCATGTTACTAAAATAAGGGAATACAACTCCTACAACATTTTTCATGATTTAATTTATAATCCAAAGTCATCTACTGTAGTGTTTAATGAGGCTTTAATTAAATCTATTTGCTTTGAGAACAAAATCATTAGGCACCGCAAACGTTCCTTAAAAATAACTGTTTACAATACATATATGAGGATGAGAGCACTTGAAAAAAAACATGAGATGCACAAAAATGCCATTCACAAATTCCGCTATGTGTTTTACAAGCTTTTCTACACAGCTAATAAGTCTTCCATTATCGAGCACATATAACCAATAACTAACTTTCCTAAATGGCTAAATAACTGAGATTTTGCTTTGATCTAGAGACTTATTATACATTCCTCAAACATATGAGGCATTCTTTAATCTCTTTACGAATATGTACTTTGATCACCTTCTCTTGATGTCTCATTGTAGAGTTACTAACGTTGCCCTTTCACATTCACCACTCTCATTGATATAGGTGACTGCCTTCCTGAGCTGTCATCTCCCCTCTTTTCTCAAAGCCCTCAGAGAACATGGGTAGGACCCCAGTTTGCTGCCAAATCCCTTCGCAGGACACTCTTCTCCCTTCCAAAAAGAGCCAATGGTACAGGAATGTCCCCAGCACGGCAGTGCTGGTCTGGGTCTCACCTGCCATTGCAAATTTCAGACATGGCTTTATTGGACCTGGACTTCTGGGCCCTTGGGGGCTCCTTCCACCCCGCAGGCCCAGCCAAAAAAAAAATTATTTTGAGGTTATTTATTTTTAAACTATGATCTCTCCTACTTTTGGTTCCCATGTGCCCACACTGCCCATGTCCTCAACACTAGGGATGCTGCCAAATCAGCGTCAGCTCACTGTAACTGACAATGACCCATGGATGGAGTCCTTCTCCTCTTCCCAAGCCCTCTTCCCTCTGTCACCAGCCCCACTTCTCCCCTACCCTGTCTGGTCTGGTCTGTCTCTGAATCCCCCTCTCCTTCCCATTCTGTCTTTTGGGGACCAGATTTCTCCTTCCTGATCCTCCTTCCTCCCCTGCTTGTTCTCTCTCAAAACTATTTTAACCTCTCCTATACAATTACTTTAATTTGGATTATGCTACTTCTTTCTTTACCTGCACTTATCTCTTGTGTATTTTCTATGCACGTCATATTGTTAAAATATGTGTTGAAGCAGGCAAGGAACTGTCATCAGTGTTTGACACAGAATATGGCTAGAAGTTAAGACTTTTAAAGCGAAAAGAAGTTAAGCATCAAAAACACATGAAAAAAAAATCTTATTGAAGACATTCAAAAGTCTGGCAAACTATCACATCCTACTAATTAAATCAGGACAGAGTAAACAAAACAAGTACATCATTTTCATGTGTCACAAAATAATGAAATGACAAGCATTTGCACAACTCTGTAATGAAAAGCAAGAGATAAATCTGGAAACATCAACATTATCCTGCCAATACTGGAACTTAAGCAAGTGAACATCATAAACCAAGCTGAACCTAGTTAATGTTGGCACTATTAGCACATCTACGAATTATACAGTACTGTAATATTCTGTTTTGCCTAGTTAAGTTGCCTATATGCTATGGATATGACTTCAACCTCAAATTTTGAAAGGAAAGCGGCAGGAGCAATTGCTCCAATTTTTGGCATTCTGTATCCACAGAAATTAATCCTTCTGACCACTAATGTATAAGAACCTATCACATTTAATCTGAAGTGGGAATTTGATTTCTTGAAGCAGCAGTTTTCCTTACAAAATAAGGTTTCCATCATATTACAAGGGGCAAGGATTTGCATCCTTATTAGTGGAGTTTGTATTTGAGTACAAGAGAAGATGGATTTGCACCCATCACAGTGTGATGCATCTCACAGTGCGCTCAGCTGTCTCTTATGAACTGGTCAACGTCATAGCTAAGAGACCTCTTGAAATAGTAGAAAGGTTGGCCTTTTTTTTTTTTTTTTTTTCCCTAATAAAGATATACTCCTGCATGTTCTGTGTAAGGAAGCAGATCTTGGGAGCTACATCTTATTCATTTAGCAAAAGGTTACTATGATGAAGAGGAGTAAATCCAGGACAGAGAAGCTATCCAAGTAGATCTTTTGACCACCAGTCTTTCCACAAAGGAAGCACAGGGACGGCTGTGAGGTAGGACCAGAATTTCTACAGAACAAGTGACCCTGGGTAATGCTCCAAACCCTTCTGTTGCCCTGGTCTGCAGGCAACTTTCCTTGCCTGCAGAAAATGGGCAGTACTGACAAATTAAGCAGGGTACCAAAGGAGTAAAATGAGTACATTATTTTGCATTTTGACTCCCTTTTGCATGGAAGATAGTAAAAGCATGGAGAACTGCATTGTTTCTGTCTGTAAACGAAGGGCGGTGACAAGAGGAACAGTGATTATTCTCATACTGGTTCAATTTTATAAAAGACTTAGGAAGCAATAACGAAATGAGAAATAATCTTCACCCAGGCTAATAAAGCTAGTCTATGAGACACTTAGAGAGGGACTGCATGGAGACCATTCGTTCATATCCATTAACTGCTCTATAAATATATACCACCATCCTAGTACTCACTCCTTTTAAATTAGACCAAACAGATTTGATAAGATTGCTATACATGTCTCTTGGATGATCTAAACACGCCACAGAGCTGAGGCTAAGGGAACACAGAGATCTAGGATTTCTGCTGTTCCTGACAGACCCCCGCACCTGAAGACCTTTCATGTATTTCAGTGTGGCTTGTAGAGGGAGCAGCTACTAAAAAAAGCCGCATAAAATTAAACATCATAGGTATAGATTACTATGAGGGATGAAGAAGACATGTTATACTAAGAAAAACTGCATAAAATTAAACATCGTAGGTATAGATTATTATGACAGATGAAGATGATGTTATACATAGTCATAAAATTTTCTTTTGTTAATTGTATCAGAAGTGGTTTTTAATATTCAGCAGAAGTGGCTTCTGGTCTCCTTTACTTTTGTTTCTTATCAAACTCCTTAGATTTTTAAACCATTCTGTTGCTAGCATTCATTACCTATTTAGACTGAGTTATCAGAGAGTAGTCTCCAAAGCCCAGATCCAGGAAGATATTCAGAAGTGTAATTCCTTTTATATATTCCCCATACAATTGCCTTTTTTTTTTAAAAAAAAAAAAAGGAAGAAAGGCTTTTAAACAAGATTTAGACAGCTAAATACTTTCATAAATCTGGGCCTAAAAACCTCTACAGGAAGAAAAGGAGCTCCTCAGCCGACTGACTCTAGTCAGATACTGAAATTCCGAGATTTCGGATGCGATGATGGCAATTAACTTCAAGTAAAATACAAAGTAGGATAATCTTTCACTTAGAGAAGACTTGAAGCAACAAGCCTCAAGTCTGGGCCAGAAAAATATGAATTACCAGTAGTTCTAAATCTGAGGAACTGGTGTGGAACAACTCGTGGGTGATGTACTGAGATTCAGGACCTTCATAAGCACCTAAAACACCTTCAGGCAGTATAGAAATGTTTGTAAACTGCTGTGCAGGACCAACTATAATGTTTGATATCATTTTTAAAAATAGATATGATAGGATAAGGATTTTCTGGTTTTAAAGTTTAATTTTCAATTAGAAGAAATAAACATAAGCTTATGTATTTTTTTATATCATATATGTATGAAGATTTTTATCTCTCTGATGAAGTAGAAAGGCAAGAGATAATTTATTCCTCACCTAACTTTACAGCTCATCAGACAGCTGTGCAATTTACCACGTGGTTTTTGCTGTACCGCTGTACTGCAAATTACTATTCAAACCCCCCCACACCTTTAACCAGCGCCTTTCCTCTCTCTGGCCTCAGTCGCCTTGAGAAAGATTTTTTTGCTCCACATTTTGCAGATAAAGAATGTACAATCACAAAATGGTCTTAAGTCAGGTGCCAGAGTGGCAAAGATTCAATCCTCCTCCAGTGACAACTTTTAACCATAAGGGTCATAGCCTTAAAGACCAATATCTCCTGCTCTTGCAGTGCTTCATAACACTGAAAATGGGCAGATGTGCACTTCTCAGTGCTCTAGAAAGGGTCAGATGCTTGATGTCAAATGAGCTACAGAAGCAGATGACTGCTATTAGGTAATTTTTTACAATTGTTGTACATTTTTCTATCTCATCCCATTCTCCAAGAACTGTATTTGACTCACATTAAAGGCACCTGGACGCAGAGGTAGTCACAGGTAAGAAGTAATCTCAATACAACTTCTATAAAATCTAACACTTGCCTCATCTTTTTATAAAAATGTCAAGTTAAAAACCCTCCATGCTACAGAGGAAAAAAAAAAAAAAGGCCTGGTTTTGAGTGGCTTTAATGTCGCCATTTTTAACAAGGACTCCATCTTATAACTTTCCACCTGTTAATGTCTCATGCCTAGTTATGGTAACATGCATTAGTCACCATGACAACAATAAATTGGAGCACACATAGATACAACGCTTCTAGCTGAAAAATTAATAATTTCCTCCCTGTAAGAATTTCACATGTTCTGCGGACAAGCCAAATCCTCATTATTTGCTTACATTTTAATTCCTAGAGCAAGAGAAATTTTTTGAGCTCCTTATCTCTTTGGCTTTTGAAATAATGGAAACAGGTTAGTGGCATACTTGTATTTTAAAAGCTTCTAAAGCTCGGTAGCCAGAAGGGCCCCCCTCTGGCAGCGATGCTCCATGGAGGCAGTTATATGACAGAAATTAGGAGGAATCTACAGCTCCTCTGAAATACCATACTGAATGTCTGGATGTCATCCTTACCACTGCAGGACAGATCACCAGGTTTGCTCTCACATGCACAGAACACCTGATGAAAACTCAAAGCACCACCAGCATTACCTCTAATTCCCCCAAAATGCCTCTGCAAACACGGCGTGTTCCTCAGCTAGGCAAAGCCTATAGATGAACACAGAAAGGGCAGCACAACACATTGTGGGGGTGAAACTGTGCAAACCCAGCTGTTTTACACGGTTTCGAGCTTTGGAAAAATGAGCGAACAAAAAACATCAGGGACAGAAGTCAAAGCTCCCCCTGAGCAAGACTGCTGCTAGCAATTCCCCCACCCTGGTCCTGTACGTACACCATACAGCCAACATACGTTAATCACACAGCACGACACACGGATGCACGCACACAGAATCCGAAAAGAGGGCAGACAGTTATGGACTTTTTTTTTTTTTTTTTTTGTCATTTCAGCGACACGACATCCGTAGATAACACGACGGCAACAGACTACACCCATAGAGTGACAACATAACCATTTATCGCTGTATCTTACATTATGAACCTGATGAATCGATGAGAAAGGATATCCTGCATTCTGGTTGGTCCAGATCTCACAGACAGAGGACTGCTAATATAAACAGAAAACTACATCTCATCTTGTAAATATTAATGCACTGCGACTGCCAAAAGGCACGAATAATTAAGAAAAGGCTTGCAATAACATTAAAGAAGGAAGTAAAACAGCTGTTAAAAGTAATTTTTTATTTATCTGCTGACAAAATATTTTTGGTCTGACTGGAAGGAAACATAGCTTATTCAGAGACTTTAGAAGAGGTTTCAAACTGTGAGTACAAGAAAACAACTTAGTCAGAAGTGCTGGTGATATAAAGAGAGAAAGTTATGCAGGTATAAACAGAAAATGCAGAGAGCAGAAGAAATACTGGTTACTTTCAGGTTTTGGCAGGGAAGAAGTTTGAATTCAACATCCCAATTAAGTTTTGAGATTTGAATCTCTCTCTGTTGGAGACTTTCACAGGGAGAGAGGAAGGGAAAAATCTGGCAATACAGTCAATGGGAAAACTACGTTTTCTTTGTAACAATTACCAGAAAAGAATACATTGCAATTAAGCGAAGCGGTTGCCCACCATCTCCTTCCAACAACAGTTCCTTTGCATACAAAGGTACAGATAATATTACCTTTGGTATTGACCATGACCCTGCTGTGCCAATGAAAAGTTTCAAGTCTACCTTCTACATTATCGTACAGATCGTCTGTAGTAGCAAAGCAAAGTAAGCACACTGTCGTATCTCTAGCAAAAGCAATAGAACTAGGCAAGCACAGCATTCACCAGCATCTTTTACATATTTCCTTGTTTGGACACTCATCAAGAAAGCATCTGCGACACCTCAGCAAAAGCTAAGATAACATTTTACAGTAGCCAGGCAACTAAAACAAAGCATCAGACGTAGGATCTGCCAACAGTATCTTCAGCAGGCAGCAACAAAAGGCAATACACATGCACAAAAAATGCAATTGCAGCATCCAGAATAGATAGTAAATATCAGTCATTTAACAACAGCAAGAATGTGTATTGCTGGTTCTCGTCAGCAGTAGCAGCATTTTTTAGCACCGATGCTCAAAACAACTCAGAGAAGTGCAACTCTTCTTAGAAATACGGCTCTTGCTCTTACCTTTTGCAGCCTGAAACTTGGCTGCCTTGCTGGTGACAGACCAGGTTATCACTTCTGGTTACTGTCAGGGCAGGCTGGCATCCTCTGGACCGACTACCGAGTGTTGCCAGCCAGGCTGGTGGCTGCCTAATGCTGTTAATGGTCCCTCATTTCCTTCATGATCTGAAATGCATGTGCACGCATCCCTTCCTCCAGCTTCAGTAATTCTTAAACTTTCCCATATTGGGTTAATTTCTTCTCCCTCATCTTGTTTTCGAGGTTATTTGCTTCTCCTTCATGATGTGCAGGGCTCTAGAATTTGACACCGTTATCTATTAAAACTTTGACTTTGGTTCACAGTCTTCTCCCTCATCCTCCACAACTCACAACACAACAGTCGTCCTCCTCTGTGTGTGATGAACGCGTACTCCCAGTGCGAGGCCAGTAACAAACACCACTCCAGCTACTTCTGCTGTGCCGTTATTAGGACATTGCACTAGTTAGCAATAATGATCTTTTTTTCTGTATGTCAAGTAAATTGACCTCTAGATGCTCCAGCCATGCCCACCACTGTGACGCTTACGTTTGTTTGCCTGGGGGAATTCTTGAATGGGAATTCATGGCAGGAGGTTGCACCTCTGCTTTTCAAGAGAAGAGTAAAAGAGACGGACGTTTCCATGCCAGGTACAGTATCCCCAAGCATCTTGTAATCAAGAAAACATACCGCAGTGCTATTTGGACACACTCGCCGAGGTCCTGAAAGGAATAAGGTAAGGCAGCATGGTACCATATGCTGGCAGATGTTTTATTTCTCCTCAGCGCTGGCACAGGGTTGCCATGATGCCGTTGTATTGTACAGCCGGTTCTCACCACCATGATATTCAGGAGACAAAGGTGTATCCTTAAATCCTGCCCCTCCCTAGAACTTGCCGTTAGGGAGTGGTGCGATGCCTTGGCCGGATCAGGTGGGAGCCGGTGCCCCTCCCCATGCAGCAGAGCCGTGCGGGGCAATCCCGGCAGAGCAGCTGCGCTGACAGCGATGTCGTGATAGCAGCCCTACCGTGCTGCAGCGCCTAAATGTATAAATACACCGCTTATGTCCATCAGCTGCTTTGGTGCTAACTCAGGAACATGTAATGCAACACTGCGGTAAGTGTGTATGCAGGCTTTAAGTTGCTCCATTAAAAAAACCAGCAGGGAACCAATCCTTTCTTATGCCTGCCAATGGTACCCACCTCGCCTCTGCCATCTTCTCCCAAACAAAACCAGAGGGGTTGGCACACTCCTCCCATGAACCGGGAGTTCTCAATTTGATGCCTTTCTCTGACTGAGGGAATTCACGCCTACGTATTTCACCTTCCTCTTTCACAGGTTACAGTAGCAGAAGATAGGCTGTCTTCAACCCCTTTTATAAACGAAGGAAAGCCTTTCTTAGTATTTTTCATTCTTTGGAGAAAGAAGAGTGCGTAAAAGCAGATGTTTGGAGCTCTCACCTGAGAGAGACAAGTTCTGGGTTTCTGCTCCAAGGACTGTTCCAGTGAACTGCCCCCATCACACAGACCTACCTCCAGAACTAAAGGTTCAGAGGATCTAGGCTTAAGCTAAACCATCTTTAAATACAGCTGACTTGATTTATTAAATCAATAATAAATCAAGTGGACCAGCAGAGACTGAGAATTTCCCGCAACTGTACGAATGCCTGGTCAGAAGGGCAGCAGTGCAAAACTCATTACTCAGTTCTGCACTCATTAATGTTCAAATGACTAAGGTACTGAAATGCAGTACAGAAGGAACATTAATTTTATGGAAGGTAATGAATTCAAATTCAGAAACCAACCTTTTCCTTGCACCACTGTAAAAATATTTAGCATTTACTATATACATATTTTATGTCTTCAAAGTGCCGAAATATTTTAATCAATTATGAAATCCCCAGGAGAAGTACTTAAAATTGCATACCCCTGTGCTGAAGAGGAAGGAATCAAAGAAAGGGAAAAGGTTAAGTGAGTATCTGAGGCCAAAAAATAGGCAGTAGGAGGGAGAATTGGGATTAGGCTTCCAACATTTGTAATTTTCAGCTCCCAAAACATATGCCCTCAAAAAGAAAGAAAATAATTCAATCTGTGCATGTACTTCCACTATACTAAACACAAATACACTTGGGCACTTAATACCACTGACACAGAGGTTCTGTGAAAGAAGAGTTTAATAAAGAACATTTTCCTAAGTAATATGGTAAAGAGAAAAAAAACCACCATCAGCCACAGGCACTTATCTTACTCTTCTCAGAGGATGAATGCTTACAAGAAGCATCGCAACAAGACTCCGCTATCACGATACCACTTTTGTGATAGCTATAGATGTCCCATGCATAAAAGATTTTCCCATCCAGTTCCCGTGGGACACAACTTCGATGGGCAAAGGAAGGGGGAAAGGGAACGGCCTGTGCTGCACAGCTCCTGCCATCTGCTACCCATGACACAGGCGGTTGGCGAATGGTGTGAGAGGGAGGTGAGGCTGGAAAAGTGGTAGGACAGTATATACACAGGTCTTCAAGGTCATGGGCTGAGCTGGAGACAACTTAGCATCTCATAAGGTGAACAAAATTATCTAAGGAGAACTTACTTTAGGCTTCATCCCTATAGAGCGGGAAGAGATGGTTGATAATCTGAAGATGGAAAGTAACCGTACTGAAAGCAATCACAAACCAGTAAGATTGATCATGGACATTCTGTGCTTTCCAAGGAAAGGAAAGGAGGAAAGCAACAGAAAAGAATACCTGGACAGCACATGCAGAAGGAGCAGGAACTGGGTGAAAGGTAGTCCTGATGTATTCTGCACAGCTCAATGAACTTCAGTCAATGGCACTTTAGTAGATGTTAAAGATTTACCTAAACTAGGAGCAATTATCCTCAGAAAGTCATAGAAGATACCGAAAGGACCAAAGAAGGGCTATAAGAATATTTAAGATGGGATAAAAGGAAGATTTGGAAAGTTATAGGCAGCCTAACTGCAGGGACCAGCAAGTAACTAGAAATTTATTTAAAGTCAGTCACCATTCCCTGGTCCCCGTGGCCTATGAGACCTTCTGACATTGCTCCTGGCCACTGAAATAAACACTTAGGAATACCTGCACATATGTGCATATACCTATATCTATGTATATATTATTGAGAATACCAAAGAAAAAGCACAATATTGCCTGCTATGTGTTACTCAAGACAGTTTCTATGGGCCAAGAAAAATTCCAGATGTTCACAATGAGGTTGTTCGGTATGAATCATCTCAGATCAAATTTCCTTCCTGTGCTGGAAAACCAGTCGACTACATCAGAGGCAGCAAAGAGAAGCACAGCAAGACTTGGACACTGACTGTGCAACTCCTGATGTGGCAACACATGACATATCCCATACACAAACTCGCCTGAATCGAAATGCTGTGGTTGCACAAGAAGTTGAAAGCTGTGGCTTGGAGGAGTGCTCAGGCTCTCTAGGGAGGATCGAGAAGCAAGGGACTTTCCAAAATGGTGTAAGAACTGAAAATAGACTGGATGAACTACAGAAATCAGTCAGATGAAATTCAGTAAGATAAGAGTATTCCGTGGGAATGTAAGATTAAATACACAAATAAAATTGCAACTACATTAGCAGAGCGATTTAACAGGGAGGTGGAGAGAGGACACAAAAAGATCTGGCAGTTCTAGTAGACTTCAAATTAAATATAGCAGTCCTGCAAGAGAATAAGCAAATAAATCACAGGATAATTCAGTCTGCAAGGGAGCTCAGAAAGTTTCCATTCCAACGCCAGCTCAGAGCAGGACTAGCTGTGAGATGGGACAGGGTTGCTCAGGGTTTCATTCAGTCAGGTCTTGAAAACCTCCAAGGACAGAAACTGGACAGCCTCTGTGAGCAACCTGTCTCCCCTGCTTGCCCGTCCTCATGGGGAGGAATTGTC